CCAGATTCTAGTTCGTATTGGTCGAGACATGCCAAGTTACATATGATTTTAAAAACCATTTTGTAAAGAAACTAGACATGTGGAAGCTCTAATAATTTACGAAGCTGATTAATTACTGTGTACGTTAGCGCACGAATCCGTGGGCTCGAGATCTCCATTAACATTGGGAAAATTACAACCCTGTATATTCTCCATACTTCAATTATCATGACAAGTCAAAAACTGTCGCGAGAATATAGGCAAGCAAGTCCCATTATAGATTGGCCGATAATAATATTATTATTATATTTAACAAAGAAAATAAAAGAAAACTATTCGGTATCAAACAAAGCCACCGATTGCATCTTCTGGCGTATTCGCTCTTATTTCTTAAAAAAGTTTATTACTCACAACTACCAGCTGCAAGCATTTTGAACCGATAATGAAGATGAACAATATCTGCATATGAACGTGTGCATGTGTATCTATATATTTGCTTGTTGTTATGTGTTCACGTATATATATATATATATATTTTCCAGTATCAGTGGGCGGGGCAAGAATGGGAGTAGCAGTGACAATGCTGATTTATTTCTGGCGCAAGATAATATATATTTGGAGCAACGATCTCATAACGTGGGGCTTATCCGTCGTCAGGGTGTTGTTATTTAATTGATACACAAAAACGGTAAGTGCAGGAATGAACATGAACCAACATATTACACAGATATATATATATATATATATCTACATATACACACCCTGGGGAGAGAGTCCACATATATTTGAGCAGCAGGCTCTATTAGTGGCCTCACATAACTAGAGCCCTCACTTATCTAAAGTGATTACATATATGAGCGGGATCTGACTGTGGTCTCTGAGACCTTATTTTAATGCAAGGGAAATCCAAGTTTGTAAAAAGGAAAAACCGTGAATGGACCATGACAGCGAAAAATCTTGATATAAATTGAAGCTCAAATATGAACGGTCTAACCCTTGCAAATCTTTGGGCGCCACTAGATAGAGAACATTTCTTTCTCTATACATGAATACCAGTGATGTGGAAATTCGACCCAAAAAATTAATATGGAAAAGCATAAAATGTGGTTCTGGTGATCAAAAGTATAAGCATGGATTGAGATGACGCAACTATGAAAACATTGAAAGTCCTTTTCTTTTAAGTAAACCATCCAATGTCTAATGCCAAAGCAAATCTAGATCTAATGAGGTCAGGATCTTTTCAAGTAAAAACTCTATTTAAACGCTGTTACATTTTAAAGACTCAAACTCAAGATTTTTGGTTAAGCTAATATAATTTCCTTGTTAATAGAATCAAACACTTGTCATTCATTGAAATCCTTTTCTTTTATTTGGTCTGTATTGTACCCTCAATTTTTTTCCTTTTTAAATAGGTCTAACCACTTAAAAATATTAGAGTGTGTATTAAAAATTGGATTGGTTATTAAACCATTTGAGGTATTGGTTCGGAGATTAATAGTTAGAATCATGATTAAATTAATTATAAATAAAATATTTTATTGAATTAGTCAAGATACTAGTTAGATTGGATTGAGATGACCTAGTTTTCAATAGCATGGAAATATTTATCTTGTTTTGTCATCTACTATAGAAAAAGAAGAGAGGAAAAAAAAAAGGGAAAGGTGGACGGTTTAGCAAAGTCTTTTTCTGCACGCAGCACCACCGAAAGTCTGATTCCCGTAGCATAAAACTGAGCAGGCAAAGTTGCAGGGTATATGAATAAGTAGTAAGATGAGAAGTTGTAACTTGTAAGTGCCTTGCCCTATATACCTAGCCAGCATGTGGCAGCTATATATTAATTAGGTTATATTCATCTTAATTAGAGCTATACTCAGATGGGGTTCAACCTCACTTCTTCATCCATTATCCCTACTAAAAAAGGCAAGACATCACGACAAACCCAACTGCAACATCATCAGTTTATAAATGCTAGCCTATGCATGAATAACTGATCTATACTCAGTTTCAGAACACGCGTCAGCCTCTCACTCTTTCAACGTCCCTGATTAAACTAATTGGTCCGGCTTTTCGGTTTTTTAAATCATCTTTTGTCTTGTAATGATATTGCATGATAATAAGATATGGGAGGATGTAACCATATAGTATAGCAGCTTTCGCTTTTTCAGTTGAAATAAGAAAAGAAGTTTTAAATTTACAGATTGACCGTACTAAAAAAGTATTGAAGGTTATGGTACAGTTCAAATATACAACTAAGCACAGCCGAATCTGGACGATCAACCACTCTGTAAAAGTACCCACCATATTTTCTCCTTCTCGCCTCATCACCACACAATATTTTTCTTCTTCCATACGCTCAACATAATGTGGGACCATTTTGCAGTGATCATATTACAGATGGGTTTAGCATAAGGAGCAAATATCTCTCTTTATTGCATTAATTATAAGTTCCTAGTAAACTTTTCTGAGTAACTGAGAAGATATAGCTGTTTGGTTAGCAGGGAAAAAAAGAGAGAGCAGAGAATGGGGCTTTAGGCTCAAACAATAAAATTGTGGCATTCAGAGAAGGATGCATGTACTTAGAAGAACATGCAGAGAGTGGACCCACTAATCAGAATTACATTTGACTCCATTATTGTGGCTGACAAGTTTGAAGTCTTGAGTGATTAAGCATATAGGATTGTCCCCGATGATGATGATGAATTGATGATGAGTGCCGCGTGTCGCCAGTTGATAGGAGTGTTGTTGTTAATGAAGAAGAATAGAGGGACTAATATGGTGAAGTTGAGGATGAGATTGGGTGAGGTGGATGCTGAAATCCAAAAGCAAGAGGGGGATTAAGAGGGAGCTTTTGGCAGCTTGCTTTTTGGGAATATTTATACAAGAAGAAAAGGGAAAGATGGGGCATAGCCGCACATGGGGGTTATGGTGAGATTTGGATTTTCAAGAGTGGGAAATGGTTCGGTTCCTGAAACACATCAATATATTAAGATTTCTTTGCTTGTTTCTTAGCCTTGCCTTTATATATTTAAAGATTCCTTTTTAGAAAGCCTTACATATTAATATAAAAGGTTGGCCAGCCTAGCCTCAAGAGCTTCAAATATAGTACATGGTATGTCTGTTGATAGCTAGTTTCTCTTTTTCCTACTCATTACTAGGAAATGTTACGGTTTCAGAGTAGGGCTGCTGGCTGCCAAGCCCATCATAGTAATGAACCGTAAGCTTGAATCATTGTCCAGTCATTGCTTCTCCATTTTAATTAATTATGGTTTCATATAATTAAGTTTTCTTCATATATCAAACAACAAACAATCACCACACGGCACTTGCCTAACTCTCTCAAGATTGCAATAGAAGATATTGCGGGTCAACGTCTGTTACAATTTGTTCCTATAGCTACCTAGATACATCGCAGTGCATTGTATTTTAATATGTAAAATTCTAACACAAATTATGTTCACATTACATTACATCATGCCTTTGTCAATTTTAGATGTTTTTGTTGAAAGGAATTGTTTATTCACGCTTAGGACACAATTACGTATTATAACATCTCATGGATGTATCTGAGAAATGGGAAAAAAAGGCGCAATGTTAATGTGAAGGTCGATCGGCTCAATCATATGCGCATTGTCCATGCACTCCCTTGGAGATATTATATAACATTCTACGGGGATTATACACGTGGAGGTTGCACAGAATTATGTGAAAGCTACACAAAGATTTGTATTAAAATTTACATGGCAAGTGTACCGAAAATAAGAATTTTTTTTTCATTTTTAGATAAACTTATATAAATAGTTTTAAAAGGTTTTTTATTTCAATGTAAAATATCATGGAATCACAATGGGGTCCCAAAATTTAAAACTTATAACAGTTAAATCTCCAATAAAATTTTCTAAAAAATTAATTAAAAATATTAATTCAAATAATTATAAACATAAATCATAACTATAAATTGAAAGTTATACTTAAAATTTAAATGTCTTGATTACCATTAAAACTCCTAAATTTATAATTATTTAAATCAATATTTACAATTTAACTTTTAAAAAAAGATTGTTAGAGAACCAACTGTCATACGTTCATTATTTTAGGATTTTAATGTCATTCTCCCAAAACATTATAAATAACTTATAAATAAAAGGAAGATAATAGAAGTATTTTTTTTTTCCTTTACCAGACGTACAAGTAACAAGATAAATATATTTTCAACTTCGTATTATGGTGTAACAAAAATTCAGCTCTCAGCCGAAAAACCAGCCAGCATTTAGGCCTAAAGCCCCGGGCGTGCAAGCCAACTCGTATTGAGCAACCCATGCAAACTCCGAGCCTTCCCTTTGATCATTGCTAAAGAAGTTTATTTCTCTCTCTTGATAGAAGAGATAGTCAAGCAGCTTGTTTTGATTTTGAAAGTAAGACCCCAATTTATTGTCTCTCAAATTTATAATTTTTAGAGAAAAAAATTTAATTACTTAACTTTTTTTATTTAAAATATTTATTTTAAATTGAATCAGTGTACCTATTACAAATTATTTATTTTATAATAAATTATTATTAATATTTACATGTCTTGATTTAATTGGATAAGAGTATATTAAATATATTAGGGTAAGTTTATAAGTTTTGTCCTTGAAAAAAAAAACTATTCTCATTAGTTGTATATAGAAAATGCAAATTTTCATCTATTAGTATAGTTTCTAATATATATTTATATAGATAAATAAATACGCAAAAAATATTTTTAAGAAAAACAACACACATTTTTACAAATAATTAACTTAACAAATTTTTTCAATCTCTATGAACTAGTTATATATTTATTTCAAAATAAGAGTAATTTTTTTAAAAAAATTTCATTAATTATATTTTAAAATATTTAAATATTTTATTTTTAAATATGTTTTATATTTTTAAGAGAAGGAATATAACTAGAGAATTAACATCGCCAAGATTTGATAATGCATTTCCGTGATGTCCTTGATGTTTCGCCACAGAACTCCATAATCAACGAATTACTGACGTGCCACATACTAAAAGGGTGGGGGCAACAGTTCGTAATTATTTACAAAATCAAGGGCAGCTTCTCAAACTTTAGCACTATAAAGTCGTAAACTTCCCCACATGGAAAGAATACAACCCTGGGTGCAACCCAAATCGAACCAAACCACAGCGGTGTCGTTTACCGTTCGCGGTCCAATGGAAGTCGGAAAATGCAGCAAAATCCGGTGCATTGTCAGGCTGCGTCAGATGCTGCGACGGTGGCGCAATAAGGCACGCATGTCGTCGGGGAACAGCGTTCCATCCGATGTCCCGCCGGGCCACGTGGCAATCCGCGTCGGCGGAAACTCAGTTAGGTGCGTGGTAAAGGCTACCTATCTGAACCACCCCTTCTTCAAGAAGCTGCTGAATCAAGTGGAGGAAGAGTATGGCTTCTCCAACACCGGACCGCTCTCCATTCCCTGCGACGAAGAAACCTTCCGAGAGGTTTTACGGTTTGTTTCGCGATCCGACTCAGGCAAATCGACCCGGTTCCGTAACATTGACGAGTCCCACAGGTATTGCCACGAGGGTTTGAGGACCAACCTGGAAGTCTGGCAAGAATGTCGGCCGCTACTTCATGGCTTCACTTCTGCTCAGTGATTCGAAGAGGGAAGGGTTTGATTATGAAACCCCATGGACTTCGATCTCGAGGCGCTCTTCGTAATCTGAAAGTAGATCCAGCGAGGAGGAATTAAGCAAGCTTGCAGGTGCAGAGCAATGCTGGTGCCGGCAGGGTGGAATTGTGGTTTTATCTATGAAAGCCATGGGAGTTTCTCACTGCAAGCTTGTTAGAAATTTTCCGATATTAACAACTGAATATGTTTGTTGATCCTCGGACTCGTCGTTTTTTGATCGAAATTCTTGTGTAGCCCACCTCTTGTCAAGGATCTTCAATTCTGGACCTACAAGAGCTAATTGTTGTAAGGAGCCCAAGAACGCCGAGGAGATGATAAAGGGGGACGAGTTATTTTCCAAGTTTCATCGGCACATTTTAACCGTTTCTGAGGGTGAACATCGATGACGCTATTTTTGTAAATAAGTAATATCATTTTTTTCAGCGGGAAATTTATTGATGACGAGAATCAATTAAACTGTAGATAAATTTGAAAATCAAGCCTATTTTGTGCCTTCATTCCTGTGACTGTGTCCTTTTCTCTATCTTGTTTTTTGTGGATTCTTCTTAGGCCATTGTGAGAGTTGAAACATTGCATATTTAAATCATTAAATTGAATTTTATAATTTAAGTTTGATTATTTTTAAAATATATATTTAATTTAAACGATTTAAATTTACAATAAAAGAGCAGTGAAAAGACAATACAGTGAAAAGAGAGAAACTGACCCGTTCCAACACTTTTATAGGCAAAGTCTCATTTGAATGCAAAGCATAATTTTGTTGCAGAATTATCTGTGTTTCAGATGGATTTGCGCCCATCTTCTACTGGAGAGAGTAAATATAAAATTAATGCTACCTTTTTAGTCTAAACGGAGTCACTGAACTTCCTCATTAGATAATAGTTGCAACTAGAATTCCCTTCATTTCGGAGTGATGTTCAAATATTCTTAGTCACTACATTTTTTATATGGTTATATCAGATTTGAGTCTGAGTCTAAATGTAAATAATTCCCTCAAAGAGTTTGTTCACATGGATTTAAGCTTGAAATTTCATGCTATAATTCTTTTCAACAGGACTAACGGCTGCTGGTTCACTACTAGAATTTTAGTCTAAGTGGTTCTTCCAAGATTTTCCAATAATCCAGAAACCAAACTAGGTTCATCAATGGAGTCAAAACTCACGTGCAAGGTTCGGGTGATCCAGATGCAAACAGGTCCGCATATGTTCTGGTGTTCGGTTAATGTGATATTGTGATGAGATTGGGATACAATCATACAGCTTTTTTTTTTTTTTTTGGGCAGCCACCTTTCACATTATATCAAATGTAAAGTTGCAAAAACCTTGTTTCAGGTGTCCAACTGGGCTACGTCTGACAAATCACTTTATTTATTAAACGAAGGCCACATTTGGGGAAGGCTAGATTTCGGCCCATATTTGCATATTTCATTAAGAAAACCCAGAAAGGACGAGGAGCATATTTGGGCTTCGTGGTAAGCTGTAAAAAGTATTACGTCGTGATTCCTAGTTCACTTGGAAATAGAAAACCCAAGAAGGATAATTGTCCATTTTCTTGGAAACTAGGGTCTAGGATCAAGCGGTTGATAAATATTAGTCACAATGTAAGACGTAACCATTGTATTCCCCCCACACTCACAATGTAAAACGTAACCATCATATTCCTCTCTGGGGAGGGGGGAGCAAATGCTGTTGTATTAACATTTAACAGTTGTTTTGTTGACTTTCTCTTAGGGAAAAGAAGCAGATGTTGCAGTCGATAAGGGCTGTAATAAAAAGCACTAGTTTTACTTTTTGAAAACTATAAATACATATCCCCTCCGGTTTCAGATATATGAAAAAAAATAACCCACATTATTTTAGAAGTTGATTAATCAAGTGATTCTGTCTGAAACTGAAATTTTAGACTAATGTTTACTTTTTTCTCTAATTTAATGATACTTTCCATTTATGATGTGCACTTTGAAAAAAATTCTAATAAATGCTCCTTGAAATTTGTATTTTTACTTATAAAATATATATATATATATATATGTATGTATATGTATATGTATATGTATATAGTAATTTATCTTATAATAAAAGACGGATGGACTAACAAATATGTGCCATAGATGTGTCTTCTCTGATTTTTTTTTTTGGTACAAGTGTTTTTGGTGAATTGATGGTGGAGATGGGAAACTTGGTCCATGGGTAGAATATTGGTTTTTAGATGTCTAATATGACTTTTGGTATAATATTCTCTTACAAATAGCGCTTAACAATTTAGAAAATAAAAGCATTTAAAAAGGGCTCACTAAATTATAACACAATTGTGAGAGAATGTGCAAAGGATGTCTCAAAAATTGCATTAGGTTAGTTCAAAGTTGTAGCTAGCCGGCCCAAGAGTGGAGTGTGGCCTTTATTGAAGCACCTCCCATCTGACACTAACAAGGAAGGAAAGATAGAGTAGTCAAGAAGGCCAATATTCAATACCATATAAGATATTTAAATCAAAATAATCATAAACAATCAACATTGGTGTGATTCATCACGAGGGAAGAACTGTGGGGCTTCCTTGTATTAACGAGGCTGCCGGTGGTTAGGGACCATACGTTGCTGAAAACTTCAACGTAGGCATGTAGGATTAGGATCAGGATTAATCGTACATTTGCAGCTTTCTGCTCGTATCATGTTTTTCAAAGTGTGTCACGCTTTTCAAAACCCGCCACCAAAGTTTCTCTAGTCCAGCCATCAAATGGTCCACAACGGTGGGGATAAAATTGGAATTAAAATGCTAACTGTTCTGTCAGCACCGAGAAAGTGAAGTGGCACCACAACTAGAAATTTTAGAGAATGTGAAGCAGAAGTGCAGAACCAACAGAGAGACTTAAAGCGTGCATGTGAACAAGATTGAACCGTATGTGCGTCCAACACTTCTTTGCAGGCCGGCCCACTGAAACAATACAAGTGGGCGTTACTGTACGTTTCGGTAAAACAGTGAGAAACGAACAATAATGAAGCACGCTTTTTCGAACTTTACTAGAGCTCTGTAAAATCACAAATAAATGCATCCAACAACAAAAGGACCACCAGTTATGAGAAGTCTTCTCATCTACGACTACGAAGTAGAACTTATTATAAGTCCAGAATTCTCTCACTCAATATATTAGGCAATGTTTAATACAAGAAAAAGCTGTTATCTAGAAAGAATATAAGAAAATCCTAGTTTTTAGGATTAACTTTCCCATTCGTTGAAGAGCCGATCGAAGAAGGCTAATCATGAAAAAGCTTTCACTAGCAAGGAAATCGAGAGAAGCGTCATTTAAGTGAAATGTTGTAAAGTGTAGCTGTCAAGAGCATCAACTCTTGAGCTTCGATGTAGTGGCCGAACCAAATTGAGTTGAGGGGGCTGAATTTGAAAAATATTAAAAATTTAGTGCATAAATTTTAATATTTTGTATCCATGGCCCTGAAAATTTAAACTACTTACCCTCAAGTTTGAATATTTATCACCCTTACCTGTCAGCTCTTTTAAGATATTGCACTCCTCATGTAGAGATTTTAGCTCCACCGTTATTGAGATGCATTGTTATAAGTGTCATATTAACGAATTTTACTAATTAAGTGGAGCTTTGGAAAGTTCTCGGAGTTTTTCATATCACAATACATTTAGACCCTCAAGGCGTCACACACTAACAACAGATTCTTCTGTCTTTAATTTATCCACTGTTATGTTTTATTAACACCGAACTAATTTACCATTGGCTCATGCACAGCCAAATCTTCACGAGTAAAGAAAAAGGGCAATGATTAGCATGTTCTTTTTTATTTTCACAAACTTCCGAGCTCATAATCAAAGGCTTGGCTTCATTGTTGCCTGTCGTTCTCATCACTGTAAGAATGGAAAAAACAAGATGTGTTAGTGTCAACGTGAGAAAGTGAAAAAGAAAACAATGATGATGAGGATTTGTCATAATGGAAAGAGATTACATTATATTGACAACTATATTATGAACTTGGAAAGCTAAAATGTTAAAAACAGAGAGAGAATGATAAACATGGACCATGATGGGTGCTGGTCTGCTGGATATGTTGTTCTAAATTACAGTATAAGTATATAATAAATGTGTCCTAACTTCCTGACTCGTTTAGTTTCGTTCCTCCCCCATGCTGCTTTTGAGGATACTTGTCCTCTAGTTTTGTCCACACGAAAAAAGTGGAGGGGCTATTTGGGGCACCTTTTACTGTTGGTTTTGCACTGAAATTGCCTATAATTGCGACTAATAATGCTTTTTTCATATCCCAGCTTCGAACACAAATCGCCATCACCAACGCGTAAATGGGTAATGAATATTTAGTGTTGTGCCCCGTAGGTCACTTCCTGAAAGGCAATGTATGTGACTATATATGAGACCCCTCCCCCCCCCCCCCCCAATTCATCTATTTGAGAAACTAGACACACGGGGAAATTAATTATTTTAAATTAATATTTTTATTTAAAACTGGGAAAATCAGTAAACAGTGTCTCTCTATATATACATGGTTTAATTCACCGCTAAGAAAAAAAAACTAAGGTTTTGAAAACTAATATTAACAGCCTGTTTGGTTTCTATTTTTATTTTTTTAAAAAATTATTTTACAATACAGTTTTTAAAATTATTTAAAAAAATCTGTGTTTGGCTGTGTTAATTTAAAAACAATTTAAGAATTAAAAAATTGATTGATAGTAATAGTTACTAACAGTTAATGATAATGGCTTATGATAAACATTACTTAGAGTAATTGTAGTTTTAATAATAAAATATAATGTATTTTTAAAAAAATAAAAAAAATGGCTTTCAGATATTTATATTATATTTTTTTTTAAATAAAAAATGAGAACGGTTTTAAAAACAATTAAATTCTAAACATTTATTCAAAGTCGTCTTTCTAATTTTTTTTAAAAAGCTATTTTTAAAAATAAAAACCGAAGAAGCCCTACATGTTTTGATGAATAGCTATTGATGGCAAATATAGAGTGGAATACACATGTACATATTATTGCAGAGCGAATTGACGATCCATCTTATTGTTATTGAATTCACCCTAATAAGATTAAAAAAGATGAGAAGCGCACATGAGCAAGAGAGAGAAATATGAATGAACAAAGTGAAGGGGTAGAAGACTTGTGAAAGGATCAAAGGCAGATCGAATCCGATGAAATGGATAAACAAAAGAGAAATCACTAACTTCGGCCATCATGATAGAAAGTGTGTATGTGTGAAGTGTGGTGGGTGGGGAGTGGGGTCCTCAGAGCGTATAATCATTGTTTAAATGCCATAATACATACCCCTCCATCACTTTTATTTATATAAATAAAGCTTTCGTACCACCCAAGCAAAGCGCTTGAAATTTCCCCCACCCCCCATAAACATAAAAGACCACATCATTCCTACTCTTCTATTTCTATATTAAAAATGAACACATCGCTGCTTCCTTTTTATCCCCGTTCCACTATATATATCCTTCAATTGAGTATA